GTCATAGTTTTAAATCCAGAATCATTAATAAGTTCTATAGATCTATTGCCTAAGTGATTTACAAGAGCGCTTGAAGACTAACAGCATCCTATATGCATGATTTCTACGATTTTGTCAATTACAGACCTATAGGCATGATTTCTAAGTGTAGCACTGATTTTAACTCATAAAGACAGTTTTATTCCTTTTAGATCCTATAGGCATGCTTTCTAATTGTTGAATAGATTTAAACCCCTATAGGCATGATTTTTAAGTTTCAGAACTGATTTCACCCTATAGGCATGATATCTATTAGTTTTAAATCCAATAAGCATGATTTCTAGGTTTGAAACCGACTTTTATTCCTATAGGCATGATATCTATTAACCTTATTTGGACAGAAATTAACATGTTGTTATGAAAGATAATCAACAAAAGCCCTATAGACATGGTCACTAATGCACATTGGATTGAAAATATGTGTAGATCCTATGAACAGGATTTCTAATGTGCAAAACTAAACGTAAAGTCCTATAAGCAGGGTTTCTAGCATGCAAATGTGCAACACAAAATCAAAATGATCATGAAAAAACCTATAGGCAGGATCTCTAAACACAGTATAGTATCCACATAGTTCAATCAGCATAATTAAACCTAAAGGCAGGATCTCTACCCAGCTTCAACAAAGGTATAAGAACCCCCCCCCCCCCCCAGCTTTAACTAATCAACCCCAATTCTGTTATTACAGAAATTATTACAGCCCAGAATGAATGAATTACATAATAATAACGATTATGCTATAGGGAGCCTTCATAGGCCCAATCTAAGCCTGGGAACCATGCCTTCAAACACAACAGCTCTGAAGCATAGCAGTGATCCATTCACGGCACATTAAACCAGGCTTCCAGTGTGTCAAAATTCCCAAAAAGCCTCAGGGACCCCGGGCAATGCTCACACTAGAACCACACATTCAGCATAGAGTTCATAAAATATTCGAAAACCAGCCCCAATGTGTCAGAGTTCAAAGGAGTCTCAAGGACCCTAGGCAGTGCTCACACTGGGGGTGGTGAGAACCTAAGTGACTAAGAGTAGGAGCTTGAAAACCAGTGCCTAAAGGGTAGGGGGCAAGTTTTGAAATAGTTCAATTTTTAGAAGAGAGACAGTTCAGAATACAGGGTTGCAGGCAGAACTACTCCAAGAAACAAACAAGGTTCAGGTTCAGCATACAGTTCAAACATGGTAAAATCTGAAATTCTTATACTAGTATTTGAAACAGTCATGGCTTAGTCACAGAAGCAATTAGGCAGAAACATTTGAATTGAACAGACAAGACATATGAATTAAGCACAAACATACTCGATTACATGCTCATAGTTCAGAACGGGTATAAAACTGACAAACATATTGAACCTTAAACTAACTTATGAGAGAATTCCTATTATCCTAAAATAACTTAGTCTTAAGTTTAGCAGTATTATCAAGTTGCACGATAAAGGACATAATCACGCTAGGAATCTAAACATGCTAGTCAAACAAAGCATAAAGAAGAAAATTACAAAGGTTAGGGCATACCAGTTGATAAGAAAGCAAGTAAAGATGCAGTAATAGTTAAATTCCAGAGCAATTTGGCCTTTGCTTTCAGCCGGCCAAACAATAGCCACTTAATGCAGAAATCAGAACAGGAGCAAGAGAGAGAGAGCTTAAGTTTTAGTAGTGAGAATAGGACAGTTCGAGACTTGTCCCAAAGGGGAAAGGGGCAAGAGTTTAAATAATGTAGGAATTAAACACATAAATATGGAAAACCAATTAGTCAAACACTAGAAAGGTAAGCGATTAATTCAGTAAAATTGAACCCTAAACTTTAGGTGAAGATACACAAAATCAGTAGGGAAAAGGTGAAGAATCACATAAGGAATACGAGATTTGGTTCAAGTAAAAAGGGTCTGAAACCCTAATTTAGGTAAATCCCAAAATCAGCAGAGAATAATGGCAAAGAATCACGTACTAGCGCAAAAATGAACGTAGACAGGGATTATTCAAAAGAAGAGTAGGATTGAACCAGATTTGGTTCAAGTAAAAGGGTTTGAAACCCTAAATTTATGTAAACCATAAAATCGGCAGAAAATGAAGCAAATAACCACATATTTTGCATAAAACGAACATAGATGGGAGATTATTCAAAAGGAAACACAGAATCGAACCAGAAAAAGATCTGAAATCCTAATTTAGGGCAAAATAAGGTAAAAATAAATGAAACACGTTAGATCAAACAGAAATAAGGAAAATATTAGTGAAATACGAGAAAGGAAAGAGTATCAATTACATATCAGTAAAGAACAAGGAATGGTCTCAAATCCTAGTTGAGACGGATGCTTTGAATCGGACCAGAGATGCAAGAATCGTTCAATAAAACATGTATATGGACGGAAGATCGTCCAGATCTTCACAGAATCAGGGTGAATCTACCCGTTATTAAGGTAGTTCTTGCCAAAAATAGGGCAAGAATCTAAGTAATACCATAGACGAGCGTATAATGATAGAGTAACACAAAATAGGTAAGTAAATCATGGATTGATTCCATGTTCGAGCCGGAATAGGGGAAATTTGGGGGTGACGGCGCTAGGGTTTGACAGAGACGAAGAGGGCGTTGAGAGAGAGGGCGGCGGGTTTTGAGGGAATGGGGTAGGGTTTCTGGTTAGTTTAATTAAAAAAGGGGCGGAGGATTGGGGGTCGTTGATCTTCTAAGATCAACGGCCAGGATTAGGCTTTAGTAGTCGGGCGGGTTATTTAGACGGGTATGGGTATGGGTAGTTGGATTAGTGTATTCGGTATTGGGTTATTGGACTTGATAGGTCCGAAAATTAATTAGGAAAGGGGCTATTTTTTAAATACCCATTTAAATTACTAAATAATTTATAAAAATAATTAATAAATGATAAAAATATCATTTGTGCATGAAAATAATTTAAAATAATCTCTTAATATTATAAAAATATAAAATGTCATTTTCTGTATGATAATATAGTTATGCATATATATGGGCTATTATTGCAAAATATGCAATTCTAACCTTAAAAATGCAAATGTAATTATAAAAATGAATTAAAATATTTAAGCATTATATGGGCATGAATGATACTTTGGAGGATTAAATCATCATAAAAATAATATGAGGGATAATTATTGGATATTTGTATAATAAAAATGCAGAAATAAATTGATTTAAAGCCTTTAAAATTATAGAAAAATTATAAAAACACTTGTGCATGTTTGTAAATCTAATAATAATGCACGTGCATTATATTTGAAAATATATATGCATTTTTAAAATATGTGAGAGAAAAATTGGGTATCAACACCTTCTTCTCAATTAGGTACCTGAGAGCAGCATGGTCAGTATAAACGATTACCTTCGAGCCTATCAGGTATGACCTGAATTTGTCAAATGCGAAAGCCACTGCTAGCATCTCGTTCTCGGTCACTGTGTAATTTAGTTGGGCACCACTCAAGGTTCTACTTGCGTAGTAGAATGCATGACTTTATCTTTTCGCTGCCCAAGAACTGCTCCCACAGCATAGTCGCTTGCATCACACATCAGCTCAAATGGTTGCTCCCAGTCGGGTGCAACTATGATAGGTGCAGACACCAGCCTCTTCTTCAATTCCTCAAAAGCTACCTTGCAATTATTAGAAAACACAAAAAGGTGATCACTTTCAAGCCATTTACACAAAGGATTAGCAATTTTGGAGAAATCTTTTATAAATCGCCTGTAGAAACCGGCGTGGCCAAGGAAACTTCTTATTTCCTTGACGGAAGTGGGTGGTGGCAACTTTTTTATTACATCAACCTTTGCGCAATCCACTTCAATGCTCTTACTCGACAATAGGTACCCCAAGACTATACCTTCCTGTACCATGAAATGGCATTTTTGCCAGTTTAATACCAAATTAGTCACCATACACCTCTTCAATACTCTTTTCAAGTTCATAAGGTAATCATCGAATGAGTTCCCCACCACTGAGAAGTCATCCATGAAAACCTCAATTATTTTCTCTACCATATCTGTAAAGATGGCCATCATGCACCTTTGGAATGTGGCGGGTGCGTTGCATAGGCCAAACGGCATTCTCCGAAAGGCATAGATGCCATATGGACAGGTGAAAGACGTTTTCTCTCTATCCTCTATGGCAATAGAGATCTGATTATACCCCGAGTATCCATCCAAAAAGCAAAAGTGGGACCTCCCTACCAATCTATCTAGCATGTGATCAATGAATGCCAGTGGGAAATGGTCTTTCCGGGTGGCCTTATTCAACCTTCTGTAATCCATACAGATTCGGCATCTTGTGACTGTTCTTGTTGAGATCAACTCGTTGTTCTCATTTTGCACTACAGTCATTCCACCCTTCTTTGGTACACACTAAACTGGGCTGACCCAGTTACTGTCAGAGATGGGGAAGATGATTCCCGCATCTAACCACTCGATCACTTCTTTCTTCACCAGTTCTTTCATGTTGGGGTTCAACCTTCTTTGATGTTCTCTGGAAGGCTTGTGCCCATCTTCCAGTAAAATCTTATGCATAAAAAATGCCGGGCTGATACCCTTAATATCTGCAATGGTCCAACCAATTACAGTCTTGCACTCTATTAACACTTGCAAAAGTTGTTCTGCCTACACATCTAACAAACTAGATGAGATAATAACATGTAAGGTTGAGTTAGGTCCCAAAAAAGCATACCTGAGGTGAGACGGTAATGGTTTTAGCTCCAACTGTGGTGGCTCTTCAATTGATGGCTTAGCTGGAGGGGTCTTTCTTTCTTCTAAGTGTAAAGGCTCGAATTCGAGCTCTCATTTCCAGTACCCTTGGACATTAAGGGCCAAAACCCACTCCGCCAAGTGCTCACCATCTACCTCTTCTAAGTTTATGAGGCAGGCTGCTAGAAGGTCTTTTGTGTTCAGAGCCTCATCTTCCTCCTCCAAAATCACATCCACGGCTTTTATCAGAGAGCAGTTAGCAAACTCACTGGGTTGCCGCATATACTTCTACATATTGAACGTTAACTCTTTTTTCGTTCAGTCTCATCTTTAGCTCCCCAATTTCACAATGAATTAGAGCTCTCCCAGTGTCTAAGAATGGCCTTCCCAAAATTATTGGAATCTCCTCGTCAACCCTGTAGTCCAGAATGACAAAATCTGCTGGAAACACAAACTTTCCAACCTGCACCAGTACATCATCAAGTATACCTGATGCTCTCTTCACCGTTCGCTCGGCTAGTTGTAGTAACATGGATGTGGGTCTTGTTTTTCCAATGCCAAACCTTTTATAGATAGTCAAGGGCATCAAGTTTATGCTCGCCCCCAAATCACATAATGCTTCAGCAAAAGCATAGTTGCCTATTGTGCATGGGATTGTGAAACTCCCTGGGCTGGACAATTTCTCAGCTATGGGTCTCGTCACGACAGCACTACATGTCTGAGTTACTGTAACAGTGGCCAAGTCTTGAAAGTCGAACTTACGAGACATCAAGTCCTTCATCATTATTGTATAACTAGGCATCTCCTTCAAGGAGTCAATCAATCGAATGTTCACCTGGATTTGCTTTAACATCTCCATGAATTTCTTATACTGCTCATCCTTCTGATATTTGGCCAATCTCTGTGGGAAGGGTGCTGGAGGTCGCTTGAGTCCTGTGATTTGGGTTTGATCCTGCTCGGGCACTGTTTCTAATGCCTTCTCTTGCACTAACTCAGTCTTCTTCACAACCTCTTTTTCTTTTCTTGTTTCTGCTGGTGCATGTTGTACTGTCACCTCTATTAATCCTGTTGAATCATCTACCTCAATTGGTACTGGCACAAGTATCTCAATTGGCCGGCTTTCGCGAGCAATTTCTTGCTCTAGATCAAGATCTCCACCATTTCTTAGACTCACCGCTATAAGTTGTTTCGGGCCCTGCTCTTTTGGATTGACATGTGTATCTGCAGGTAACGTCCCTTGGGGACGATTATTCAGAGCCATACATAGCTGCCCTAATTGAATCTCAATGCCTTTTATCGCTGAGCCATGTGCTTCGACTTTCTCTTGCATTTTTCCATTGGACCCAATCAGTTGTTGCAGCATTCCTTTAATTTCAGACAACCTATCATCTTGTCTCACTATTTGTTGTTGTTGAGGATGTTGATAAGCTAGCTGCTGATTTTACTGATTGTATCCTTATTGACTTTGGTAAGGCACAACTTGACCATGAGGTCGCATAGATCCAGGATTGTTGTTATTATTATACCGTTGCAGTGCTGGTCTATACTGCTGATTCTGCTGCCTCCAATTCTGACCACCTTGCCTCTGTCCTCCATAGTTGCTCACATAGTTCATATTTTCTTCATAGTTCTGGTTGTCACTATATGGTTGGTTAATACATGGTGTACATAAGCCTCAACTAGTCATGTCAACTATGTGCACCTACTTCTGGCCTGATTCATCAATCTTCTTGGTGAGGATACTCATTTGCGTCATCGGAGTGGCCATATTCTCGGCTATGGAGTTGTTTGGGTCCAAAGCCACTGAGTGAACTACAGGAGTGATTGTAGAGTCTTTTGTCATCCATCCTGAATTTTGAGCCATTTTATCAAGTAAGACCTTGCATTCCCTGAATGATTTGCTCAAAAATGCTCCACCTACTGAAGCATCAACATTGGCCTTCAAGCTGTCTGCCAAACCTATGTAGAACCTTTGTCCCCACATCTGATCTGGAATTCCATGGTGTGGACACTTAACCAACATACCTTTGAACCTCTCCTACGTTTCTTGCAATGTTTCTGCTGGTTTCTGCCTGAAGCTCAATATCTTATCAACTTGCTTGGCAGTCTTATTTGGCAGGTAGAACTTGTTCGAGAACTGCTTGACCAATTCCTCCCATGTGGTGATGGAATTTATGGGGAGCAAATTGATCCAAGTCTGAGCTTCTCCAGTCACTGAGAATGGAAACAATAACAGTCTGGTTGCTTTCGGTGTCACATTTGGCTGCCTTTGAGTGACATAAATTGACAAAAAGTTTTTCAAATGCTGTTGTGGGTCTTCAATGTACGACCCTGAGAACAGTCCCTTATTCTACAGCAGGTGTAGCATGTTGTTTGTGATTCGAAATGATTCCACTTGTATCTAAGGGACGACAATTGCGGTTGCCAGATTTTCAGCGGTGGGTTGTGCCCAACCATACAAGGCCGCTTCTGGAACATGAGGTGCCACACCCCGATTGTTCAGGCCGTTCACATTGTTCTGGTTGTTTTGGTCGTCTATGACGTCACCCATATCTAGTTCGATTCGATCAGTTGAGTTCTGTTGCCATTTGTCCTTCTTGTTTGCACGAGTCATTGCCTTGAAAACTTTCTCATGATCTGATAATGCTTCGAAATATTCACCAGTTCTTGAGGAGTTTCTAGGCATGCATGTAATACCCAAGACTACAAACGTTAGAATTTCAATATAATTAGTTTAAAATGGAGAAAATTGACTAAACTAAGAATCCTGGCACTTCTTTTAGCTGCAATTAATAACACCGTTAATACCCCGGCAACGGCGCCAAAATTTGATGACGCCCAAATATTTCTTATAAAAAGGACTAAGCGGTCGTTGCAATATAATCCGATTTACAAGTCCGGAGTCGAATCCCACAGGGAATTAACGTACTAATCACAACTACTAGTTTCGCAAAAATTCATGTAATCAACTTCCAAAAATATTGAATAATGAGTTGAGTGTTTACTAACTAACAACAAGGTGATTTAAAAAGTTGTAATTATATTACTAACAAAGCAAATGTTGTAGACAAGATTAGAAAGGTCTGGGGTTACGATTTTCCCTCTTATCGGAATCCTCTCTGTTGCGTCTCCTATAAATTCGCCTGGATACTCTCTACCGATCGTGAGCATTTTAGGTGTCGTAATTCTCTTCTGAGCGAATACAATAATTTACTAAACGTATTCTTCCGAACTACGCTAGCTAGCACTAGTTTACCGCTCACTAAGATCGCACCAAAGTTTTGTTATTCCTAATTCCACCTTTAAACCCTCTCTATTGATCCCTCATATACGTTGGGAGTGATGTTGTTCAACAACTACCTAAATATGTACCCTTTTCCAAGTAATACACACTAAATAGGCATAGCCGATTAAGGGCCCTTCAATCAACCACAATAATCACGTAGTTGAACAATTAGAGAAAATCAAATGGCAAATTTATATTAAACGCAACAAAAATTCATCCTCCAAGAGGTTCCATCAAACCCTAGAATAGAAATTTAGCTACTCATATTCGTACTAACAATTTTTCATATATTTTGCAAAAACAAATTACAAAGAAAAGATGAAGAACTCGATGATTCTCTCCTTCGAAAATTGTTCCAAACGTCTTCTCCCTTCCAAAATAGTCTCCCTAGGTCAAAGATGTGTCAAAAAGTCCTCAAAATAGCATTTTTACATCTATTTATACCAAGTAGGGTCGGGCCCAGACGAAACATCTTTTCCAGCATAAAATAGGACTCTGGATCTATAAAATTTGTACAGGCGCGCCGCACCCGCGGCACGCTTGTGGAGTTTATCAGCGGGCATGCACTTTTCTTGTCAGGCCAATTTTTACACTGTTGCGTCGTGCCCTGCGGCGCCCCATGCGGCGCGGATAGTGTAAATTTCTTAGAGTGAAATTGTTTCATCCTCTTTTGACATCCAGACTTGGTACACGGCCTCTGAACACAATCCCGGCTTAATTTACTGGGCTTTTACTCAGACTTCAAAGCTCCAAATTGATCGATTTAGCTCCAAATTAAATTTTGAACTCAGAATCACTTCCAGCAAGGTGTAAAACACGTACTAAGTGTAATTCACTATCATTTAAGCTCAAACATACGTAAAATGCAGAATTAGAGTGCAATACTACGGCTAAAATATCGGTTCCTAGCATAACATCAATATTCAATAAACGAAATTAATTAAATTAATCGTCCAAATACAAAAATGTAGTCTCACTATCTCTCATATAGATTGGCGACCCCGTGAAATGGCAAAAGGCAACGTTGATAATCGCAATTTAAATAATATTTTTACAATAAAATATATTTTCATGGAACCTTTTTAGCACCAGAGATGGTAATCTACATATTTATAGAGGGCAGAATACATAGGTGGCCCCCGATACCTAGCCATTTTTTTATTTGGATATTTAAACTAGTAGTAGTTCCTATTGGGCACTTTAAGCGAAGACAAATTATGCCAATTAAACACATATTTTTCAGCTCCAAACAAACTTATGCGTGTGCATTTCACTTGTTGCCAATGTGAAAAAGTAGGACTACTAAGAAAAAAACACGTCACCAAAGAAAAAAAGCCAAAATTGAAGGACCCTTGGAGATGAAGACTCGTCACTTTCCCCACCCACTATTTCACCGCCAATGAATACTACTGGAACTATTGGATTGCAACCGAGACTTGAAAGCTAATAACTCAACAATTTATTGATTATCACCCTTATCTTTTCAGCTACCATCCGTTGCAACTGTCTATAGGCAAATGTATTTTCCACCCCTACTAGCAGCACCCAAACGCACCACCGCAGTAGTCCCTCACTAGAAAGGTGCTCTGATAGCCTTGTCCTCTTCATCTTCAAATCTCGCAAAGCCACTTCCATGACCGCTTACAATTATCCTTCGTTGGTGACCATTAGGTCCTCATGTGGGTTTTCCTCCGGGCTTTGGCTTCGCGGTGGTAGCGATGCAGCAAACAATGCTTCTTTCATTCCTAGTTGACCATTTTTCTATTAAATGTGAAGTGTATTCTTAAAAAGATTTATGGTGTTGACTGTAATTTTTTATCACTGAAATTGTATTTGGAAGGTAGAGAGTGATTGACATGGTGCTGGAGGAAGCGTGGTGGTGCTGAAGCAACTGTTATAGTCGTGGAGATGGTGGCGGCACAAGGAAGAAGAAGGAGATTGAAGGAAAATATTGAAGAAGAAAGAATTTGCTTGTTCTCACGTGCTCAACACAAGTAGTGTTTTACACACACTTCCATATCAGCAATGTGTGTCTAATTGACACAATTTGTAATCACTTATAGTGCTCAATAGGTACCTTAGTTTCGGTGTTCAAATGGGAAAAAATGGCCAAGTTTAGGGGACCGCTTATGTATTCTGCCTCTATAGAGCATATCAGCTTCACTTGATGCGGCTCCTTGTGATGAATATCTTGCTATATTAATATTTCTCTAAATTTTAGAAATATTAATATTTTATGGAAGCATAACACTTTGGAGTAGAATTTAATTTTTTGAGTAAAGTTTCTAGAGATCGGGCGTACTCAAGTCAAAGTACGGAAATTGAGCTTGCTCTTGCTATAATCATATAGACGAGAGTTGAGAAGTTATTCCAATTATTAAGAAGGACGATCTTTGCAAAAGGGTTGAATATAAATAAAAAAAACAACTCTTGGATAAGCTTCACGATCCTCGACGGCCATCGGTACCATTTTCCCTTTGGCAATAGAAGCAAATAGCAGCAACAGGTAAACCAAGATTGTAGAGCTCTGCAAATTCTCTTGTATTAAAATTCTAGTTTTTTTAAATATAAGTTAAAATACATTATATCATAGGTAATAATAATCTTATCTAGTTTTTTTGGGTCTTTTTTAACTGAATGTTAGATTATCCTTTATCAAAGAGTATTTGAGGGTAAAATTTTCTCTATATTCGATATTTACGTTATGTACGGGTAAAATTGGGGGTAACATCTACCCCGATTTCCCGGCGATAGAACGGAGGAAGGGTACGAATGCATGAGACTGTAATCTAGGTTAAAACCCTTCGTATCGAGATCCGGGGAGAATGAATGATGTTCTTGACATTGGATTTGGTAAAGCGGCACATCCTGGGCCTGGAATGAGTTCTAAGACTTTGGGAAACACGGTGAATGGTTATGCATGACAGATCGAGGGCCATGATATTCCTACCCAACCGGATATCACGGCGCGGATCTCGCTCGATGTCGATTATGGATCGGTCAATAATTACTGGAAAGGGAAGATTTTTACCTTTTTTAGACTTATACTAGGGATAAAATTCCCCTACTATATAAAG